TCTTTTTCTTTCATTTTTTTTGGAAAAAAAAAACACCTGTCCCCCTTAAAATGGGGCGGATATCCGCGGGTATCCGCGCGGATACCCGCCAGCGCCAGCGGGTATCCGCCAGCGTATGCGGATGCGGATGCGGATGTCCGATTCCGCTGAAATGGCGAGAGGATATCCGAATCCAAACGGATATCCGGATGCGGCGCGCCCATCTCTAGATCAAACCTGTCCCTCCAGGAGGGGCGGGTTCAATCGCACGCCCCTTTTGGAGGGGCATGGGCGTGGGCGTGCGGGGAGGGGGAGGGAGTGCGTTTATCAACGCCCGTAGCTTTACTAGACGGACTATTATGGAAAAGGGTGTGCTAGAATACTGCAGGAATCTTCCTTACTTTTCTTTTGGCCGGTGGAGGCCACTTCAAAGGTTTAAGATATTGATGCTGGAGATGAAGGAGAAGAATTTGTAAATTTGTTTATCATACCCCTCTGGATTAGCAATGAAACCCATGGTATATATCCTCTGAATCAGCAGAAATGGCTCAGAGTAGATATAAGGGCTGAAATAGTTTTGTCAAGAGACTGGCTATAAAAATAGTTTGATGCCAACTTTAGAGAAAACAATCTTCTGGACTGATGACAAATGATCCAACAGACACAATCCCAAATAACTGATATCTTGCTGGTTTGGGAGGTATTCAGATTGTCAAAAATGGCTTCTTTGTCAGATTATCCCAGTACTCAATTCTATGTAGGGCTGGTACCGTGGGATTCAAATTTTGAAAAACAGTACTTTGATCTGTCTTCAACACAAAAATTGAGGAAACAAAAAAGTGGAGAGAACTGTTGTTTAAATTCTTCCCTTGTCTATCTACTTGATCAAGGACTTTCAGCTTCATTCCATCCACCTTTTTTTTTGTAAGCAAGGCCATAATTGATGAGGAAATATGAAATAATGGGTTCTGGGGAACATATACTTCCTCCCACTGAGACTGCACCCCATGCAGGTTCTGGATGCCTGGTGTCTCCTTTTTTGCCTTTTGATTTCTGTTTTTCAGTTGGTATTTTTCCTTATGCAAGAACTGTGCAGTATGACTTTTTTTGGTCTTTTTTTTTAGATGAGAGCTCTGGGACAAAAAAAAAGAGAAAAAATGCTGTTTTAGAATGATTGTACAAGAAGAAGCCTCTAGATCATCTTCCAGAAGTCATTTTTTTTCTCCAAAGTCTTATAATTGTGAGGCATGGTAGATGGAATGTCAATCCATTAATTATAGAATCCAGTAAAACAGTAGAAACTCCTCACAAATCGGTAACAGTATTCACCTCTGAACTTTCCCCGGACGGTGAATCATCCAGGTTGTCTTGGCGTCCGAAAGACAGGGGCGCTCCCCGAGAGGCTTTATTAAGGCTCGGGAGCCACCGGGCAAGCTGGGACGGGACTGATGAACTGTTGACGGAGCTGCAATGTTGGAGTCAGTCGACGCGAACAAGCTCGAAGGGAAATTTGGGCCGCTTGGTCCTTGTTTGAGAGTTGATCGGCCGCTGAAGATCCAAGCAGTCCAGCACCCCCAACCTTAATTTTCTCCCATTGGGGACCTATAAGAGCATCCGCATCGGTGCGCGGATTACCGCGCGGATTAAGGATCAAGTTAAACCTGGATTAGCACTAATCCAGGCCTTCAAGCACATCGGTCGGCACTAGACGAATGGACTCCGCCCTAATCCTTGCACTATACCCGTCAACCTCATCGGTAATCAACCTCAAACAACCATGCCGGACGAGCACGTTCCATTTCCAGAATCCGACTTTATCACAAGACAGAACATCAATCGGAGCCGCCTTTTAACCCAGAATCTCGTGGAGGACGACTTTGAAATCACGGCGTTTCTTGATTCTAGCGGCGATTCTGAGCCGGAAATCCTGCCACGATCGAAGAAGCGGAGGCCAAACAAGGAGCGAAGTCATATGGAAAATCATCGGAGGCTCATGGCTGATTATTTTAATGAAGACTCAACGTACGATTCTCGAGATTTTACTAGACGATTCCGGATGGAAAGACCCCTTTTCCTTCGTATCCTCAACGATCTCACCGCAAACTACCCATACTTTGTCCAGAAACCAGTAAGCCCATCTTCAAGATCAAAATTAATATGTGGAAATACTGACTTATCATATTTTTTTGTGACAGGACTGTACCGGTAAACTAGGCTTGAGTCCTCACCAGAAGATTACTGCAGCCATCCGACAGCTAGCCTATGCTGTTCCCCTCGATGCAACCGATGATTACTGCCGTCTTGGAGAGACGACTGCGCGCCAGAATCTCGAGCAGTTTTGCAAGGCAATCGAAGCGATTTATGGCCCAACGTATTTGCGACTCCCGAATCATGACGACCTGAAACGAATCCTTGAAGAGAATGCCAGTCGAGGCTTTCCAGGCTGCATTGGCAGCTTGGATTGCATGCACTGGGCATGGAAGAATTGTCCAACTGCCCTGGCTGGGCAGTATGAAGGAAAAGAAAAAACTCCAACACTGGTCCTCGAGGCAACAGCAACAAAAGATACCTGGATTTGGCATACCTTTTTTGGGACGTCGGGATGTCTGAACGATAAGAACGTGTTGGACCGATCACCTCTTTTCTATCCGATCATCTCAGGAACCGGCTGGGGTGTAGAGTTCGAGTTAGAAGGCAATCATTACAAATACCCCTATTATCTCGTCGACGGGATCTACTATCCGTGGTCGACTCTTATCCAATCTAAATGCTTGGCTGCATCCGATGATAAGCCAACTAAATATTTTATCAAGCGGCAGGAAGGATTCCGAAAGGATATCGAGCGCACATTCGGAATCTTACAAGGCCAGTTCCAAATCATCACGAAACCGGCCATGAATTGGTACCCAGGCGACATGCGATCGATTATGATGACTTGTATTATCCTACACAACATGATAGTTGAATACCGTACCAATCGCAAGAAGCAAGCTCCTCTTCTTCCTCTCCCCCCGTCTACGAAACTCATTCCTCCTCGATCGGAGCCATACAACCTCAGAGAACAACGGATCCGAGATGTCGAGATGCGATCAGCTCAAGTTCATCAGAACTTGACAAAGGATTTGATAAATTTCTTGTGGCACAAGAGTGGAAACGAGGATTCAATTTTTTACAACAATGATTCTTCTGATTCCCTAAGCGATTAATTTTTTTTTCTCGCTCATCATCCATCATAAATTTTTCTCGCCTTTTTTGCTCAAAACCTGTTGTCTCTGAGGTCGCTCGTGCTCCTCCTTTTTCAACCATTTCTATTATTTGTGGATTTGAATCGCTTGCTATCTTTCTTTATACATGCAATAACTAAAATGTGATGATTAAATAAGCTCATTTGCATGTCTTAATAAAAAAACTGATTTGCAGTTAAGCAATCGTTTTTGGTTAAGTGAAAAAGAGATCGATTGCAGTTCAGCGATTGGTTTCAGTTCAGCAATTTAAAAGAAATGAAATGATTTGCATGTCTCAAAGATAATAAAGAACAAGAATCAAAAACATCGATCACTTGCAGTTAAGCAATTGTTTTTAGTTAAGCAAACAGTCAGAGATTGCATTTCTTAACAAGCATAAAAAAAGAAAAAAATCTTCCATTTTCTAGAAAATGGGTTACAAATAGATCAATGGAAAAAAAAGATTGAAGAAAAAAATCAAAATAAAGTAGGATCGACAGCGGCATCTAAAGCCTCAAGGGATTGAGTTTGAAGGGGGTCACACTCGTCATAATCATCGACCTCGTCATCGGGAATATCTTCATCCTCCTGGCGGTCATAAGGGGACATCGCATTGTCCGGTTCGCTAGTCCCAAACTGTGTTGAACGATCCGTCGGAGCATGAGAGGATTGATCTGCTGGACGTTCGGATGATAGAGAAGGTGAATTGAAAGAGGGATCCATCCACTTCTGGAATATTTTTTCTTTTTGAGCGAGTAGGAATCTACGAGAGATGTCATCGGGGCAGTTGGCTGGGTTTTGGAACATGAGGTTCACATTGATCTTCTTCTGTTCACCAGCGACGAGCTCCGCTTGAATGTCGTTCGATCGTTTGGCTTCAGCAGATCGCTTGACCGACTCCTTATGAGTTGCCTCCATGAGCTTAATTTTTTTTCTCTTATATTCTTCCTCGTTTGCGTGTCGCTTTGCCGCATGAGCACCTGTTGGTCTCTCCCAGTCCTTGGACCTTGAACCGGCATTGCTCGCCGCATCAGTGGCATCAGGAGGTGATGGAGTTACTGGGACTTGAGGGGTTTGGCTTTGAGTCGATGGTGGAGCACCATTTTTCGCTCGGCCAGCCAAAGTTTTGAACTTTTCGACGTGTCGGAGAAGGTTCCACGCTCGATCCGACATAAAATGCTTTCCGACTTGTTCGTAGTAAATTTGTTTGGCACTAGTGAGCCAATCTTCAGGGGATGAGCCCGAGGGTGGATTCTGCTCAATCCGATTGTGTATGGCTGTGAACTTGAGGCAGCCATTCTGCAACAATTTCCATCTAAATTTTGGGGTATAAGAGCAATGAATGAGTTAGTGAGTCAATATCGAAGAGGAACAAATAAATAGTACATACCTTGCGGATAAACGGTCATCATCTCGCTGAGGGCCACCGGTGAATTTATTGTAATCCTCAGCGACTCGAGACCAGAAAACCTCTTTTGTCTGGTCGTTTGACCGGATTGGATCAGTTGTGACAACAGTCCAACTCTTGGCCAGCTGTTCGTCCTCTTCTGGGGAGAAGTTTGGCAGGCGTTTCTTGTGGGTGCTTGGGTCAGACGTAGGTTCGGCGCGGTTGGTTGGGTCCAAGCTCAAGTTTGTATTGGTTGGTTGAGCAGCTTGGTTGGTCGCTTGGGAAGCTGTGTTGGTCTGTTGAGTTTCTTGGTTGGTTGCTTGGGAAGGTGTGTTGGTCGGTCGGGAAGCATTATTGCTTCTTTGGTTGTTTGATCGTCTGGGCGGCATACTTGTGGAGTTGTGGAGAGGTGATGTTGGAGGTGATGTTGAATCGGCAAGTGTTAATCTTGCCAAGTCCAAGGCTAGCTGAAGGGTGCCTGATCCTGGGACTAGTGGGGTATAAGTTTGATACCCGCTAGCTCCAAACGTGATCCTGGAGCTAGTTTAGTCCGATCTAATCCCACCCGGTGCGGTTGGAGGGATTAGATTAGCTGGCTAATCCTGCCTAATCCGCGCACCGATGCGGATGCTCTAACTTCCATCCGAGCCAGCCGGTCCTGCGTACATAATATCCTCAATTCAGGCTCTCAAAGGAGAACATCGGGGACTCAGTATTTGGGGATATTGTAAGGTAAACCCGCGACCGATGTCCTTGCCTTGGAAAGCCAATGGAGTTCCACTCGTGTCGTCATCTTGAAGCATATTGCACTTCGTATAAGCTTCTTCCAGTTCCACACGAGCCGCGCCCGCAGCCGCAAGGAGACAGAAAGCATCGACCTTTCTCTCAGCGGACCAGCCGGACGGCGATGTATGCGCATAGCAGACGTTGCTTCGGACCGCAGGCTTATGCCCCAGTGGCTGTGTATATATTAAGGGTCGTGCAAATGGTTATCCGGCTTGAAAACATTGTCTCCGGAGGTCTCTTGACCATCCAGCTGGCTTGTGATGCAAACACTCCAGAATGATTGGCAACGTGCTCGCGTGGGGACGCTTCCAAGCTTTAGTAAGCCGGATGTTCTAGACATCACCCTTGTGAGACAGTTGAGGCGAAGCAGCAATCTGTGAGCGAACAGATACATATCAGACGACAGTCACACAGGACCCGAGGGGAGGGGGGGGGGGGCATGAAATTCTCTTGACTCGTAGATTTTGGCTTGGGGAGATGGGGGACACTGATCAAACAGAGAGTTAATCGATCGAAAGCATCGCTCCTTATGAATCCTCCAAAACCCAAACGTGATATCTTCCTGGTTTCCTCATTTCTCATTATTGAGCCAGGAAATCCGATAGTCGTACCGTTGATGAGCCTTTTGCGCACTCAAGCTGTTCCTGGCCAAAGGCTGCTTTGGAGTCTTCGCTTCCCAATAATCATCTCTTGGTTTTCTTTTCTTATTTAAGCCGGCATGTCATGCCTCCAAACCTTCCTCGTCTTATCCCCAATTACCACTTCTCGATCCCATCAGTCCTAATTAGCTACCCCCAAAGAAAAATAAAGAAGCCTACAAGCAGTCTCCCGAACAAGCCTGTTATAGCCAGATAGAGACAGATACTCTGGACTGTTGAGATTCAGAAAGGATTATGATGATGTTCAGTAGCATTAGTCTGTTCCTTTTTGCTTATCTCGGTTTTCATCTTGCTCTAGCGGACACGGCATCCTTGCGCCAAAAATTCTCTGCCTTGAAGATTGATGCCGTCTTCCCGGGAGACCCGAATTATGTGAAATTTGCTACGCCTTTCAACAAGAGGTTCACCTACATGCCGGCAGCCATAGTTTTTCCTAACAACACAAATGCGGGAGCCAATTCGGTAAAAGTGGGGGTGGGCGAAAAGCTCCCTAGTAAATCCGATTTCCTTTTTTCAAGTTTTCTAACGAGTAATGCGTAGCAGTGTAAAAAATCTGATGGGAGCTTGTCATAGTTTCTCCTCGTGCTGGGGGGCACTCGTATGCCGCTTACGGCCTAGGCGGAACCAATGGTGCCTTGGTCATCGATCTCCAGCGAATCAATCAGATTTCTGTGGATGGCGCTACCGGCCAAGCGACGATTGGAACTGGAAGTCGGCTTGGAGATATTGCTCTCGGTTTGAACAGTCAAGGTGGACGAGCCTTGCCGCATGGAGTGTGTCCTTACGTCGGACTGGGCGGTCATGCCTCGTTCGGAGGGTGAGTAGATGATACTCCCCAAACTTGAACGAGGGAAGCCAATTGTAGAAAGTTCCTGATCACAACCGAGTATTCTATCTTTTCCTAGCTACGGATTCACCAGCCGACAATGGGGCTTAACAATTGATCAAATCATCGGCCACGAGGTCGTTTTAGCAAACGGGTCCGTCGTCACTACTTCCAAGACAGGCGGTCAGAATGCCGACCTTTTTTGGGTAAATGCTTGGCGCGAGAGTTCATTACAATCTGAACGATCGAGTATAAGTATACTAATATTTCTACATCCCCATCTCAGGCTTTGAGGGGTGCTGGGTCATCGTTCGGGATCATGACCTCGATGAAATTTAGTACCCAAGCGGCCCCCAGTCAGGCGACGAATTATGCCTACGATTGGAACTTCAACGAAGCCGAATTGGGGGATGCCTTAATCAAGTTACAAACCTTTTGCATGTCCAACCTGCCAGCTCAATTCGGCATGACTGTCAATCTCAGGAAAAGCAGTCAAAGCGGCAAGTTGATGTTTTCGTTCACCGGAGCTTACTATGGAGCCCAAAGTTCTTTCAGCGGTGTCGTCCAACCGTTCCTATCCCAGATGGTCAGTCGCAATACTCACGAAATGATATCGTCCGTAGACTTGATTCAAAGTACTGAGCCAAATTTGTTCGATCTATGTAGCCCACTCCTTCGGGGAACTCGGTTAAAACATCAAATTGGATTACCAGCTTGCAAGGGCTCGCCGGCAACCAAGCTCTTTCTACATCAGGTAAGTTTTGGATAATATTTTATTCGCTTTTGAAACAATTTCATTCGGATTTCTGGTAATTCTGATTGAGACAACGTTTTGGTCGGACGATCCAGGTGTGGACCTCACGCAAGAGCACGACACCTTTTATGCCAAAAGCATCACGACCCCTCAATCGGCACCCATGTCCAACTCGTCCATTCGCGCGTTTTCCAAGTATCTGGCCAACCAGGGCGTCCAGTCTAATACTGTAAGTTCTGATCGGATCAAAAAGTTTCGGCCGGAACCGAGCATGACTGAGCCTATGGTGCGATACATTTATTTAGGTGTGGTTTGTACAATTGGAATTGTATGGCGGGAAGAATTCGGCCGTGACAGCAGTTGGAGTCGACGAAACCGCTTTTGCTCAGCGTGCCATCTTGTTTACCATCCAAGTGAGTGGATTCGATGTCACGAGCAAATCGTTAATATTATCTGTCAGAGTCTATTGATCGTCACTGACTTTGGTTTCTGAATGCCCAATAAGTTTTACGCTTCATCAAGCAACTTCGCACCGCCTTATCCGACTGCTGGGTTTACCTTGCTGGACAATATGGTGGATAGTATTGTAAACAACAACCCTTCAGGGTGGAACTATGGGTAAGTCATACTTTATCAGAAAAATTCTTTTGCTTCAATATCTTTTTTGCTGACCGTTTTACCTTAGTGCGTATGCGAACTACGTCGATGATCGTCTTTCTGCTGCGCAATGGAAATCATTGTATTACAAGAACCAGTTAAGCTTTTTTTTGTTTATTGAACTGGCTGACTATTGATCAGTACTAACTTGGCGACCTTCGGCCGTTTTTAACAATCGCAGCTATCAACGCCTTACTCAAATCAAAAGAGCCTACGACCCTCAAAATGTTTTTGTTTACCCTCAAAGTATCACTGAGTAAGCAAGATCTTTTGTCCGTTTTCTTTATATTGAAAATGTTTTATTCCATGAAACTAATTCAAGAGTTCATTTCCTTTGAAAAAATAACAGACCCACTCAAGCTCAAAGATTCAAACGTGACATGTTTTAGGCTTCAAGCTTATTATTTTTTTTCCAAAATCTTGGTAAATCGTAATCATTGATTGTATCAACAGTTTCCATTTCTTCATCAAATCCGCCTCACAAAACCGCTGAAAAGGCGTTGGTTCTCTCCTTGCCACAAGCAATCTTTCATTTCATCACATCTATTCTTCTTTATTATCTTTTTTGGGTGCCTGTAAATCGCAGGGAGGGCATCAAGAGTTTCTCCTGATTTCTTCGCCAAAGCAGCTTCAAAAATCAATGAAAAGGACATTGTCTGTTGTTACTAGCCATCTCAAGTCTTTTCAGCATTGTAAAGCGATCATTGGTGCAGTCTGATGATCAAGTTGTACTCGATGTAATACACCAGTCTAAACACTGATTAAAGTTCAAATAAGTGACGAGAAACCCATAGGCTCTATGACAAAATGTGAGCACCCATCAAAGCTTCTGGGAAATTTGGTCAGCAGATAACTTGATAACCTCCTTTCTGCAATTTTGGTCAGCTTTGATGTTGTTTTGAATGATGTCAAGCTGATTCTGACACTAAATAGTCGTTATGTAACAAGCCGGCAAATTAAAGCTGAGGCACCATTGGAAAGGCCAACCAAGAGCGCAAAAATTGATCTCACATTGACTGACTACAGGAGTTGGCTGTGGTCAAATTTTATAATAGAGCACACCTTGCCTTCAGCAGCCTTCTTCAAACTTGAAGACTGTGAGATGGCACACTGGAAACGCAGTCACCCTCTGTAGTTGATCTGAATGGGACTTGTTGTACCGAGTCTAATAAAGTCTCTCGGTTGGAGCCTGGAGGGCCCTGTCTCACGGAGATGCACTTCCCCACAGTTCGAAGATGTGGAAACGACTGGATTAATCGGAGAGTTGACTTGGGTCCAACTGTTATCTTACTCCCCACTGCAACTTGATTGGCTGGTATTGGCTAAGGTTTCAAGTCGTGGCCCGTTGGAACCTGGACTCCCCGGTCACACTTGTCACTCGCTAACTGGAGCGCGGAGCTTGATAATATATCATCGCGTCTGTCATGGCGGAGCAGTCCTACCCTGTACGCCTTTTTCGAGATCAGGGCGTTTCTTACATCCGACCGGCTGGGTCATCCATGTGCCGTCTGCTCCAGGCTTCAATCGGCCATTGTTTTTCAACCACCGCGACACTTCAAGCAGGATTTTTTTCTTGCGCGCAGTGTGCACTACTCGACATCTCTCTGACAGTTGTGGAGATAGTCAGATATTCTGTTTTCTGTCCAACTTGATTGCTCATACTGTCGATCGGAACTTGGGACAGTCTGCAATCAGCCACCTGCAGTAGTGTCCAAGTATTTAGCAGAAAAAAAAGACCGGATCAACCGGTCTTGAGGGGGTGAATATAAGGGGTCTGTCCATGGCTACCTTTTTCAAGAACCAAAAACAAATCACTGGACGTGATTTAACTAGCTAAGTATTGAACATGCTTTCTCGATATATATTTCTGAGCGTTTTCTGGATCACAGCTGTCAATGGCATAAACATACCTTGGAGTGAGGCATATCCAGAACTTCTTTCAGTTTGATTTCGCTGGCAGTCTCCTTGCAAAAACTCATAACCCTCTCCATTCCCTCCGAATCCCCCATTTTGAGCAGTTGGAAGAGGTACCTCATCTGACAAGTCTTTGGAAACACTTCCAAGTGCTATCAATGGTGAAAGAGCTAGTGAGTCCATCATCTCTCAGTCTTGTAAAAACCTCAGTCTGTGGGGGTTCAAGTGGCCCCGGTTGGCACCAAAAACAAAGCCTGTCTGCAAAATGGGTGGGTCGGGTGGGATCAAAAAAAAAAGTCCATGTAAACCCGGCCTGATTGTTCCAAGCGTCCGGTCTTGGTCGCGTCGGACATCGAGGGAGTTATGGCAATACAGAATGGTCCCCTGCTGGCTCACCCTACGTCCCTGAGGGTAGACACAAAATTTGTCTGTCTGTACACACCCAGGGCACTCTGCAAAAAGTAGTGCAGCCCAGGGACGCCTTTGTACCTGAGACATCCCTGAGACGGTGCGGCGTCCACAGGACATCACCGTCAAGCCTGCCATCCCCGCCACATCCCATTAAAAAACTTCAGCACAGCCCAGGTATGCCATTGTCCCTGAGCTGTCCCCACACGCGGAATGCTGTCCCCGCGTCATCACTACCCCCCCCTGGCGTCTATATCCTGTCCCACACTGAGTCTACCGTCATTTAGCCAACCCCACTTGGAGCCCTCCATATCTGAGTCTCCCCATGACATCACCATGCCATCCAGAAGGTCAACCAGCTTCACCACCTGAGAGGGGGACAACAGTCATTGCCATGAGGGCCCAAAAAATAGAACAAATCAAGCAAAGTATCATTCACTTGTACAACTTTAGCCACAACAGCAAGCAGAAAACAATAGGGGCCTGTACCACAGGATTGAATTTTGAAAAATGATCATTTTTTCTGCATTCTACAAAAAATTGTAAAACAAGGCAAGATATCTTGTGGCGTGATTCTTTGTTTTTGAGCACATAACCAGCCTTTGGTGAAGGGCACTTTTGATTACAAGAGAATTTGAGGAAGAAAAACCAGAAACAATTTGACCAATTGAATTTTCATGCTACATACAACAAGCCACATCAGGCCACTATCAACAACACCTGGTCCCTCAGGTGGGCCACTTTGGGTCCCCAAAAGCAAGTGAGATACAACAAATAATTCAGAAGAGGGCAGGATCAACAACCACAAGCGGCTCTGGTGGTCCAGTTTGGGTACCTGCAAGATGCCATTGAGTCAATCCCTCATGCACTCCTCTGAGTTGTTTCCTGCAGTCAACTGCTTCCACCGGTACCCCAGAAAAGTTCCTGTGAGCATCCACAGATGACAAAGAGGCCAAATTCACAATGTAGTTGATGTTATCGGCATGTGTCACTTCCCCCACATAACGACTGATGGCTTCCCGCTCCAACTTCTTTTGCTTTGTCAACTCAATGGAGCATTGGCCCTTGTGGCAATCGTGCTGAACATTCAGTGTAGAAACAACGTCCTATGGTGGGTGTAAGACAAAAATATTATGGTCTGTCCTTCCAGTGATCCAGATCCAGACAGAGAAGTCAACGTACTTGAATTCCTACAATACGCCCCTGACCACCCCTCCTTGTCTCCCTCATGTTGTAGAATTTGCTGATGCCACCAAACTCAAACGGGGTGAGACATACAACAAATTTGGCCCTCCTTTCCTTCCGGGCTTCCCACATATGATCAATTTGCCCCAGTTGCAACAGGTCCCCCTGGTTGGATTTGAACTACACAAAATATACCACTCCAAAGCATGAGTTTCCAGTCTATAACACTGACAAAAACCCAATCTTTCACTCACAAGAACAAAAGAGCCAATGCGCAGTAGATCCTTCTGTGTGATGTGGATGCCAGGCAATTGCTTGAATGTATGACCTGGAAGTTGAGTGGCCAGGTCAGCAGGAATGGTCACGTTTTTGGCCTTATGAATTCTGCGTCCCCCCACAGTTGGTTTGAAGGGAATTGGATTGTCCAGATTTTCGGCGTTGTAACCCATCGACTTTTGAACCAAAGGACTGTTTGCAGACAGTTCGAGGACCTTTGCAGATGCAGTTTGGTACCCATTCGCAAGACGGTTGAAGAAGAACCCCCCAGATGCTAGGTGGCGCAGATTTCGAAAGTTTGCAAAGGATATACCAATATCCTTCCCGGGGCTCTGACGATTGGAATGAATTGAGGATTTCCTTAAAACACCATTGTAGCTCTCAAACTTCTCTGTCGCAAATAAAGCAGCTGGTCCAAAGCGGAGAATTGAGTTGGCAAGGTGAAGTAGCATGTGGATTTTGGGCTTGTTGACCCATTGGGCAGTGGTCTTGATAAGGTGATAGATAAAAACCCGGATGAGTTGCCGTAGGCTGACTTGATACGCATCCATGTCTGCAATGTGTGTTTGAAACACCAATGGAGCAAGTTGACACAAAGCTGACCATACCAAGCGCTCGTCCTCCGACATGTATTCAAACAAAACGAAGGGGGCCGCCTGAATAGCCACCTTGAAGTCCTTGCCAATGAGGTTGCTGTAATGTTTGGTGAGGTAGTAAGGCCGCATTGATGGTGCATTCAATCCTTTGGTGTCAAACGATTCGTATCGGGCCATGACTTCTGGTACAACCCCGGCCGGGAGCCCTTTCATGATTGATTGCAACATGTATTTGACAACTCCAAGGAGGAAAACATGGAGCACCTCAACTGGGGTGTCAGAACACCCATCAAAGCCTGTTTTGAGAAATAATCACAGGCACAAGTCAACAAATATATCTAGCCACCAAGCAAATATGAATTTAAGCACCTACCTTTAAGTTGGAAGAAAGGACTGAACAAAGGCTCCTTTGCTGCCTGGTCCAAGTTTTTCAGTCCCTGAACAAATTTGACCTCCTCTGCGGTCGCCTCGTCCTTCTTGCTCAATATTTCATATCTCCGATCGATGATGGAGGTGTTCAATACGTCCCGCACGCCCAACTTTGTAATCTCTTCCCCAACAGCGGTCTTTGTACGAGGCTTTTCTGACTTGTGCCATATGTGGTAACAATTCTCTATGATTTTGGCCCACGACCGTTTGGGATTATTAATCTAGGACAATAGACTCCTCAAGTTCAGCTTTCATTTGCAAAATAAAAAAAGGAAGTTTATAATTCACTCACCCAAAGGCCGGAGGAATCAAGCATAGTGAATGAACAGACATATTCCATAGTGGCCTTATTCTTGACACTGGCTGCCGAGAGATCACACGCACGGCATGGGTGGAGTGCATTGGCAGGTAGTGGTGTACTTGTTGCCTCAGCATGCATTGGGGAGTCCCCCAGGAAGCACAGGACGTTTGATGTAACCAGGACCTCTTCCATTAAGCCGGCATCCCAAGCGACCGTTCCAGTGGTTGACAATTGGCTACATATGTACATTGGGAAGTAGTAAATTAGTTGGGCAAAGATATAATCAAAGCAAGTGGAAAAGTTTCAGAGATTGAATGTACTTCATTTCAGCCACAATTGGGCCGGCAAGCTCCATAGCATTGGCCTCGTTCGATGTGGTGAGATAATGACAGTTATATTGTTGGTTGCTCATGCTTGGGGGAAGTCCAGATAGTGTGAAATAAAATGAGACATGTTTGTTCCATCGTTTGGACTGATTTCCAGAGGTGTCATCACAATACAACGTGATGGGCATGTGTCGTATCATCTTTCCTTTGGCGTGGTCCCTCCATGGATTAGGCAGTAAATGTATCCCGGTCATGTGATCACCCAACTCTGTTGTTAATGTATTGATGCAAAGGTACATCAGTTTCAATGTGAATGTGGAATAGCCATACAAATATGCACTGGAGTAATACTGACCATAAAGTCTACCCTGACATCGCTGAGATAGCATGAGTCCTTCCGGCCCAGCGATATTTGGGAACGCACAATAAAATTCAGAGATATTGATTTCGTGAATAATATCTGAGTTGAAATTGACACGCCAAGGTATAGAGATTCGCAGGTTGTGTCCATTGGCTTCCGGTTCAAAAGATGGGGTCACACACTTTGACCACAAATCCTCACCTCTTTGATAAAAGAAAAGGGGCACAACAATTGAATCGTTGGAGAGCTGAACTGGCTCAAATAGATAGAAATCACCATTTGGTGTTTGGACCATTGGGGCTCGGGTTTCTGGGTCCATATCCTCGAGCCATTTTTTCGATTGAGACAACTTGAAGATATTTTTGCCCCTCGCGTCTTCGGGATAGTAATCCATTGCGCGTGTGACCAAAGGATTTCCAATTTCCTGCCCAAGGATCTTCTCAATGCTCAGGGCGTACGTAGGGTTCCCCAGGATTGAGTAAGACTTTTTCACATCCATCTGTAGCAAGTCCCGGTGTTTTTTTTTCTCCCGCCTGTTTGTGGTCCAATCAGGTAGGATGACGTGTACCAGCGAAAACATTGAGCGGATGTGGTCGTAGATGCTCTGCGACAGTATTGCGTGGGCGTATCCAATGACTAGCGAAGAAATCATGTACTGACAGAGGACATAAAATGAGCAATCTTCAAGCAGAGTGAGTAACTGTAAACACACTTCTTTGGTCCGGAACGGCCACCAACTCCTATCCACATGTGGTCGAGCAGTGGTACTACCAGATTCACCATCGCCAACCCTGCTCAGTTCGCGCATGAAATCAAGGTCTGCTGCTGATAGCTCAAAATCCTCGCCGTCGGCCTCATCATTTGAGTTCAAATCAGATAAATCAGATGATGTGTCATGGTCACTTGCACACGAGTCCAGCTCCTTGTCACTGAATATGTCGTCATCTGAATTTGATTGCTCTGGAACCAGAAACTCATGATCCTCTTTGCCATTTGTGGCCAGACCATCGCATGCGGTCCAAGATTGAGTGGTTTGATAATTTGACACGTCCAACGTGGGATCATCTACTTCAAGACCAGCTGAGTATTCTTCCTCATGTTGGGTGGTGTGGAACTCGGGAGGATTCATTGTCTCCTGGAACCGAGACTCTCGTGTCTTCGAGGCAAGGAATTTTTTTTCTAATTCTTGATGTTTTTGGTAATTGATGTGTTTGCGGATGGAACTGAATACCATGGTCCTGGACCCACAGAGCAAACACGACCATGTCCCACCGTACGGCTCCCCTGATACCTTATTCCATACAGCTTAAAAAAAAGAGGATATTCAATTATAGATTGGTGTGAGCAATGGTTGCAAAGATGTTGTGCTCACCTGGGTTTAGCTCCACATTGGGTTCGACCACTTTTGCCCGGGGCATTGTGAATCTTCTCTGTACTCTGCAATTCTGATAACACCCACGAGATCTGCGCGGAATCACTGAAGGGCGAAATTGAATAAATTGAATGAATAAATTGAATAGTGGTGTTGCAACAGGACTCGCACCAAATCACTGACTTGGCAAAATGAGAGAAAAATGAGGGTTGTTTTCAATTATAAGTCATAAAAAGAGAAAGTGCAGTGATGAAGTTTTGAACAGGCAAGAATCAAGTTTAGAGGCAAATGAGCTAGACGTTAAAGAAAGGCAAAGGGTGAGAAGATAGAATACCGTACAATGTTTTCACAAGACTATAGTGATTAAGCAGGGATATAAACTGAATTTGAGAGTATACAGGGGAGATTGGAATGATGAAGAGTGTTGGGTTTCTGGGCCCAGAAGTTAGAGATGCTGGAGCAATCACATGGAAATATTCAGTTTGTATTCATCTCATTATAACGGTTTTGACATCTGTTTACTCACAGGCAATGTGCGATAAGCTCCGTTATGTAGTCGGAGTTCGACTTAGCACCCGAGGCGACGAGAATCCGTTTATATTGGAGTTCACCTTAGGACACTACTCGGCGAGGCTCGCGTGAGGTCAAGGCCTCGTCAATAAGGTGATCGGCGACGATGAGCGCGGTTATCTTCTCGGAGTTTGCCTTAGGACACGACTCGGCAAGGGTCGTGTTAGTTCAAGGCCTTGTCAATACGCTGATCGGCAACGATGAATGCCGGTATCTTCTCGGAGTTTGCCTTAGGACACGACTCGGCGAGGATCACGTGACCACCAGGCCTCTTCGATAAGATCTCGGCGACAAAGAGTGCCGTTATCCGGTCAGAGTTCGCCTTGGAATACGAACCGGAAAGGAACACGCGAGTTGAAGGGACGGCGATGAGCGCCGTTTTTTAGTCGGAGTTCGCCTTCGGACACGACTTGGCGACAATCGGATGAGGAGGGAAACCGAATGGATTTGATGGGCAGTGAAAGGGCCCGCGTTCAGGTCCCAGATCAATAACCCGATGGATTCACCGTTATTTGGTCGGTGTTCGCCTTCGGACCCGACTGGGCGAGAATTCCAAGAGGAGCGATGGCGATTCTCTCGAGAGGACAGTGAGAGCAGCAATCTGGCAGGTCGTCGGTCTCCTTACACTTGGGCACGGCCTGCTGCCCGATCACCTCGGAGGGGACAACAGTGCTCATGGGTGATTTAATTTCACCCATGAGGAGCCATGGGGGATCCCCCTTGGCCCGGCGCGCGGACACCCAGCGAGGGACAATGGGCTGCCTCTTGCTGGTGGAGAACAGAGGATCAGCGCCACCCAACCCGATTGGGATGGGTAGCGCAGTTGACCTTGCAAGAGATTGGCAAGGACAGCGGGGCGAAGTTCCCTCTGTTCCTGATCTCATCCCATCACTTCCTTTCCCCAAGTTTCCCCAAGGGAAACACTCGTCCTTTTTCGCTTATTGAACAGGTTCGTAAACGAATTTTTTTTGTGCCCTCAATCCGCGTTTCTAAGACCCGACAGGCATAACGTAAGCGGTCCTGGATCCTTGGACCGACTTTTCATAATCAACTTTGTTTTTGCCAGCCATCAAACCACCTTTCTAACACTCGACGGGCACAACGTAAACGCTCCTGGCTTCTTGACCGACTTCGTTGAGTTTTCAAGTGCCTCAGATACGATCTTGCGACGGACGATAGCGGAGCTACTTCGACCGATACCCCGCAATCCAGCCCGCTTTCTGAATCGGGTTTGATTTGCTTTCTCATGTCCATATTTCTTGCGGTTCTGATTAGACAGTAAAGCTAATGTCTTGATTCCTTCTTGTCTGTGTTTAGTTCAAGCACATCGGTCATTCCGTCGCTCAACCCGGACGACTTGTGGGACCGAGTATTGCGAGGTATTGGAGGGCTTAGAACACGCCTGAACAACCCATCTAGCCATGTCAGTTGTTGTGTCATCAGAATCTGAAAGCGAGTATCAGGGCAGCGATAATTCCCCCTCGCCCGCACTGGATACGCCTGGCCGCCGCACCCGTATGACAACACAGACAACCAGTCATGAATCCCAGGCTGGTCCAGTCAGGCCGACGGTCCGCCGTACCCATGGGAATGGTGGCCGACTCCCTGCTGGCCCACAAAGGGGTCCTTCTACCACTTTGCCATCCACAACCGTCCAGAGGACCTCGAGACCAAGACCTGGTGAGAATGATTGGTCTCTGATCCATGATCTGTTTCCTGGATAGTGACATGATATTTGATACAATTTTTAGCCAACCTCCCACCACTTCCGAGCAGGCATCGGATGACGCCGTCGGCCACACGGTCAGCCACTTGTGGAACTCGTGGAGGAAATGTAGATCAACCTCAACCAACCAGTGCTGGGTCTAACGTGCAGGCTGATTGGCCACCGGCCTCTGTCAATTTGAGCATTGAAGACGAGCCAATCAATGATGAGTTTGTCTCTGAGGTGGATGCAATTTTTCAGTTGGGAGGGTCGTATGCGGATCTGGGTGAACAACTGGCATATGTATGTACTGTACATCCTCAAATTATTCATTCTCGCCACGTCAATGGTGACCCTGACACAAATGACCCAGGTACCAACACAAAGACAATATGTCATTGGAATGTATGCCATCTTATCAGTCAGGCAAGCCGTTGAACAGCTCCGTCAAGATGTCCTCACCATCCCTCGTGCTCCAGGAGTGGCGTCAGCAGCAATGCCCGTGGCAGTCCAGGCTCGCAACTTCCACTATGTGGCAGTATTTAGAGTACGTCTGACATACCCAAGCTGCACTTACTCTTACACCCAGCTGAACAAATTAATCTAGAACTTTGTTACCCGACAAGCCCGAGAGCTCTTGATGAGCCAAAATTTGGGCGTCTACAGTTCAGACACCCCTCGGGGGGCTCCCAGGAAGGCCAGAGGCCTCCTCACTTTGGTACTGGTGGGCCTATCTTGTTTTCCCTAAATATTTTTGAAACTCACTCAGATGTTGATTGACCACTTCAGGAGAAGATTAATGCTCAGAATGACCAGTTCAAGAGCAGTCACCTGCCACGCGGATATTCTGATCCAGATCCAGCTGCACAAGGCAGTGTTGATGCCTATGTACGAGGCAAACTCAGGAACAGCCGAGGGAAGATGAGGGACTTGGTAAGCTCAAATTCTGAAATTGTGTGATTGTGTATAGCTAACAACCGACTTTGTTCAGCTCCTCACAAACATTGATATGGAATCTGAGGTCCCGGTTCCAACAATTTCAGCCCTATTGGGTTTGGTAAGCCCCAGCTCCCCCCTCTTCATGATGAGTGGTGTCCCATCTGATCCACATTTTTACTTTGGTGATCCTACAGATGAGGTCTAGTTTGACCCCACCGCTCCCCAACAGTGCACCAGCAACAGACACCACAGACAAAGGGCGGAGGGAACTTGCCCTTTTGAAGGCTCGGTTGGCTTATTTGCGACTCCAAACAATAATATATTACCTACGACAAGGGGGGGAATCCGGTCGTCAATGGAAGAACATTGATGAACACTTGCGCGACTTGGCCTTTAAGAGTCGTGAATACCGATCAGCGTGCGTATCATTTTTCACTTGACCATTAATCAGATAATTGATGTATTGGTGCCTTTGCTATTTGCCTGAGACAGCTTTTATCAGTTGGTGACCAGATACGATCGCGAACTTTTTTGTGGTGAGGTGTTTTCCAACATCAATCGAGATTCCATCGTCCTCCCAACACACGAGGATATCGAGGCTCTTGTTGCAAGCACTGCATCTGTGGACACTGAAGCCATAGGAGATCCAGGGGAGGGTGTCTAAAGAATCCACTTGGTTTGTTTCTCCTTTTTTTCTCTTGTACATAGTGCATGTTTCTCTTTCAGGCTGGTTTGCACTGGTGCATTTCTCAAGCAGATTGTTGTAGGTTTTTTGTTGTTGTTCTAAATGCCCCGTCATATGATTCAGTGTGTTAATCACAAAACATACCAAGGCACTGTTTGATTCACTGTCTGCACATTAGTGTGTGATTGTTGTGCAGTAAGTAACCTTGAGTTTGCTGGGGGATGTGCACGCATATGTGCTGCACAATTGCCTCAAGGATAATATTATTTTTACCCAAAAAATGTTGCTATGCTATCTGGGTGACAGCTCAGGGACAGCACTTTTGCTGGTCTTCTGAAAGTAAGATTTTGCAGGAGACGGCCCAGAAATACCTCCTAGCCATCCATAGGATGATGTGGGGGGACATCACGTGGACGCTCCATGAAGACGTCCCAGGGCTGCCCTTTTATTTTGGGAGGAGCATGCCCCTGGGATGCTCTGATCCGTGGGGGCTGCTGTCCTGGTGCCGTCCCCCTGGACCCTGCCACTTGGACGTCCAAGTGCACTGGGGGTGTACCCGACCCGTTTGGAGATTACATAGCTCAAGCCAGGGCAGGTCGGGCATGAGCTTTGGGAAAAACTGCCGCCGGCCCACTTTCACCCCATTATTATAATAATCTGAAACTTATGTACCCTGAAAATAATTCTCCTTGCAGGTCTTGATTTGAAAGATTTTTGGCAAGGCGATCCTGGTGAGGTTTCCAATTTTTGGGCTCAAAATCTGACTTGACTATTGAAATGGGATGGTTTCTATACACAGATCTTAAAGAGAAGACTTTCTCATTTGAGGAAGACACACGTGAACTATTGTATTTGGGAATGGGGCTGGAAGAAATGCTTCAACCTTTGAAGTCATCTTCAAAAGAGGCTTTGGAGGAATTACTGGTTCTCCAGAAGTTGAGCAGCAAGATTTCTGAGTTGAGAACAATGAAACTTTTGCAGCTACATGGATCACCTTCCAGTCTCCACAAAATAAAAGAGCTCATTTCAGAAAATCCCAAAAATAGTAAATTGATCAAAACTCTTTCAAATGAGTTTTCTGGCTCATGGGTGAAATATTTGGAAGAGATATACCACATTTTAGGGAACTCATGCATGGAAGACATTCAGACACTATTCAATGAGTTTGACTTTGGGAATCATATCCAAAGATTAGAACTAAACTTGAAACATTCAAACCAGTTGCCAAAGAATTACTTGCTTAAATCAACAGGCTGTAGATTTTTATTTAAAGCAATAGACCTTCTGTTCAAGAACAACTTCATCAAACCAGAAACAGTGCAAATAGCTTTTCAAGAGGAGAGAATTGTGGCCAATTTCTTGGATTATGCCTCTACTGCTCATTTTAAAGAATTGAGACATAGCTATCTTGGCTTTGAATCTCAACCTTTGATCACTCAGAATCCATTCTGGCCATATTCTCATGGGTTCTTGAACAGTAAGTTCCCTTCAATTTTCATTCCCCCCCCCTTTTGATTTTGGTTCTTTCAGCTATACTTGCTAGCAAATTTGGTTTTCAGCACTGATATGAAAATTGATATTTTTTTTGGTTCATCGTAAAAGCCCTAGGTTAAAAAGAGAAAAGAATAATGGATTTATACTCCTTGTTCCACAAATTACAAGATTACATGAATCATAATGATTCCTATTGTGAACTTGAAATTTGGCAAAGATTCTTGGATTCATTTTCCATAAAGAAATATTTCAATGAATGCTTCACAAGTCCAGAAAGAGTGAAGCAAGGTGTTCTTGAAATTCATGAAGTCAAATTCAATGAAAATCCTGTACAGTGGGTGGACCGTTATTTTTGGCTGCTTGTTTTGGATTCCAGAGCTTCAAAGCACAAACTTCAAGTCACAAGAATTGGTGAAGTGGTGCAGAATAGGTCCCAAAGAATGAATATGAAAAAATAAAAACAAAAAACAAAGTTTCAAAATTTGTGAAAAATAAAAAATAAAATTTATTTTTCTCAAAAGCTTCAAAATTCATTTTGGGGGATTGAGAGTGCTGAGAGAAAGGAAGATTGGGATATTAGAAAAATGATTATGAATGAAAATTTTGGAAAAATTGCTTTCCAGATGGCTTCAAAGAGCTGTTGATTGGGGCATTCACCAGCCCACATTGCAGTCAAGCACTAGAATTTACTGTTTTGGCTCCAATCTGGACAACCAACCTGGCCAAACCTTTTTTGGTTCCAATTTTTTTCATTTATAATCATTCTTCCCATGTTCCAGTCTTTCTTTCTCTCAGCAGTCCCACTCCCCCAAAATCAATAACAAAGCTTTTGGAAAAAAACATTTTTATTTTTTATTTTTCACAAATTTTGAAACTTTGTTTTTTGTTTTTATTTTTTCATATTCATTCTTTGGGACCTATTCTGCACCAATTCACCAAGTCTTGTGACTTGAAGTTTGTGCTTTGAAGCTGTAGAACCCAAAACAAGCAGCCAAAAATAACGGTCCACCCACTGTACATTATGAGAACACAAAGGATGTTGAAATACTCACCAAGCTGATAGTCACATTAATCAAGAAACAACCAATACTTACTCCTGAGGAAACTCATTCAATTTACCTCAGTTGTGAATTATTGCATTTCATTGACCAGTCTGTTTTCCCAGGTATCATGAAACAAAAAGCCATCAAGTTGTTTGGAACTTCACAATATTTTGGAAAACAGATCACACTTATATTGTTGTATTCAAGGATCAAAGTGTTCAGAAACCTTGCAGACATCTTTTACCCATTTCCTAATTCAGAAGATAGATTGGTCCAGTTCAGCTTGAAGGAAAGGAAAGCAATCAATGAGAAATATGTTGATAGTGTTGAGGAAATGCTTTCCATGCTTACTGAAATATTTATGGAAGTCAAAAATTCAAAACAAAAGATTAATCATAAGAGCTCTGATTTGGAAGGGGTTCAAAAAGGAAAATATCAAGTTGAAAAATCTAAGCATAAGAAGTCATTTTTGAAACCTGATTCAATGGCCAAATGGAATCCTACCCATAGGGAACTCGACAAGTGGTTATCAGAACAAAGAGGAATGATCCAACTAATATCATATAGAGATTTGATTCTTGACAGTTTGAGACACCCAGAAAAACATTTCAAAATTCACTTTTTTGAATTCTAGAGTGTTCCTTCTCGTTTACTTAGACCTCTTTCTTCTCTTCTTATTTTGTCATGATTTTTAGCCTCAATGTTTCACAAAAAAAAAAATCTCAAATCAACAATCTCATGGCTTGCGTATCCTCTCACCATATTTTGTCAGGTAGTTTGATCCTTTTTCTATTTAGAATTCATAGAACCTTAGGCTGTGAGGATTATCTACTCTGGGTTATGGAGTTTTATCTTCGTGAGTTGTATGCTTGTTTTTTGCTATGCTTTGTTGCAATTAAGGGGCTGGGCCAGCCTGAACCCTATGTTGAGCTGTTATAAATAAATACATCTATTTGTAACATATTGCAAAGTTACAAATACAGCCTTTTGTAAATCACATATTTACATCTGCCGATCTCAGGGTGCCCACCAGTTAACATTCCGGTATGAAGCCCGTTAACGACCACATGTAACAGACTGGAAGAGACCGGTAAGGCTTCCACTGTTCAGTCAATTGCTCTGAGATCGATTTTGATGAAACAAAAAAGATGAGATCGAGAGGGTTAGTTCTCTATGAGCAAAACACTTGAATCTGCTTGCTATTCAACCAAGCGCTAAAAAAACACATTCTTTCTTTCCAGAATGATGAAGGGGCGTACCCATTTCAAGCGGTGTTAAGAAGAGCCCGGGTTTCAGAGGCTTGGTGAGACGTCTGCTCAGCTCTTGGCGTGAAAGAGGACAGCCGACAGGGATTGGTGGAGTTGATAGTCCGGCGTTTCCCTCTTCTGCCTCCTTCTTCGATCCCCTACCTTCCTCAGCCTTGAGGGGAAGCAAGGCAGTGGTGTACCATCTCAGGATGCCTTTCTGGATCGCTAGATCCGCATGAGGCAAAATATCAGGATGTTTGACGCAGAAGATCAAGAACACTACAAAAAAAGCATTATCCCATTCACACCGCATCAATTTGTCAAAATTTAGCTATGGTTGGAAATATGTATACGAATATTTTTTTTTTCTGTTTTCATTTCTTGCGAAATAAATGGACTTAACTTTCAGCGGTCCATCGACCAATTCCTCGCACTTTGCACAACTCGTTAACCACCATCCTTGGCTCCATCGTGAGCAGCGCTTGAGGGTCGAGTCGACGATCGACAAATCTTTGGGCCAAGTCGTGAATGTACTCGGCCTTGCGTTGGCTGAGTCCGGCCGTGCGAAGGGTGAGTACTGGAGTATGAAGCACGTCGCTTGGGGAAGGAAATTGGAACTCGGACGGTCTCGTGTTAGGCCTATCCAAATCACACACGAGACACCGATGTTGGTCAGTCATTAAGTTAAACCCACCTTGTTTTAGTTGCTCCTTGAGTTCCTTTGGTCGTATTTCATCGATCAAATTCAAGTTGAGAAACACCGCGTGGTGCAATGGAAAGTGGCTGAACTCACTCTAACTTTGGCGGCAATTCAGGCTGGAAACTTGCGACGAGTGGACGTACCGAAACAATGAAGAAACGTTAATTTAAGCAACGCAGGTCAGGGGTTTTTTCTATGTTAGTTAGGAACCAGCGTACAGTTTGATGAATTTATAAGTGATAGATCGGGCAGCCAGACAGCTGACTTGTTGGCCAAGGATACTGCAGCATAAGTTTCGGAAAGGCTCCGCGACTTGATCGATCGACGACTTTGATAAGTTATCGAAGGGACCACAAGGCAGCCGACCGAACAAAAGCGAGAACCGGTCGTCAAGGGCTGCAAGGTGGGCTTGTGCTTCCGATAATACGAACGGTCGAGTTGGATCTTGCGACGCGGTCTTGAGGGACTGGCCATCATCCTGGGAGGAAGCTCCGACACGAGCCTTCGAACGCTTCTTCCGAGGACGACGCTCTTCATCCTCGAGCGGTCCCGCTGTTTGCTTGGATGTGAGCTTAGCAGAAGATGCCGATAACTTGGTTTGAGCTTCTGCGATCGCTTTCCTTGTGGTAGACCGGGTCACGCGTGAGACGGCCGTCATTATTCTCTGGCTCGTATGCGTGATAGATGCGAAGTGAGCGGGTGTCTAGGTTATCGGAAGAGAAAACTTTCAGTTAAAGGCTACCATGCAGATAACGAGAAACCATCTCGATCTGAAAACTCACCGGTCCTTCCAGATTAGAGTGTTTCCTTGATCCGGTCGATGGTCAGTGTGGTGGTTGAGAAACAATCTTACCAAATCCGATCACAGCACAGTGCACCCCCACCCCAGCTACATAAATATATGCATCCACATCTTCGACCGCAAGAACACTACATAGGAGGCTCTACTCCACAGGGACTGTGATAGAGTGTGCTCTCATCTGGGTAACTAACTGATGAGCTTCATTCTAAATTCCTCGCACCAAGTATGCAATGCGCCCAGACACTCCAGACACAGAAGAACCAAGACAATGTTCTATCCCGATTGATACTTGCGTCACTCAACTAATTATGTAAGAGCTCATCCAGCCATGGAGGGCATTTCGACTCACACAACTGTCCATGAATATCATGAAAAGAGAATCAGATTTCGAGAACTCAAGAGAATTTATTCCTTATTTGATTCACACACATCTTTTAAAATTGTTTGAATGAATGGAAGGAGCCGGAAAGATCCACGTTGCATGCGCAAGCAACTAGTAAGATTGAAAGAGAAAGGAAAGAAATAGACACCGGTGTCACTCTGGCTTAGAAAGAGAGAGATAAGAAACGCTGAGGAACAACTACGTCCGCATTTGTAAGGATAAGTTATAAGAGAGAGAGAGAAAAGTGTTTCGCCAAGAATTGTGTTGAATACTGGTTAAGAGGACGGAACTTGGTTTGATGGGACTTTGAAGTTTGTGGGGGCTTTGGGATTTTTCTCCTTGCCTGATTTATCCTCGACTACACCCTGGTCATCGGACGACTTGCTATCCTCGATCTTGCCTGGGGAGAGTTTCGAGTCGTTTTTCGAACCAGAGGCGGAAGGGTCAACGGGGGAAGATGGTGGAAGGGCAGTGCCGTTTGCATGGACACTGGGCTTTGGGCCGACGCTGGAGGAGCTGTGGGATGCGCCGGTGTCGCTAGACGAATAGTTCATGAACTGATGACACCAGGACATCGCAGCCGAATACTTGTCGCCGTTCCCAGCGGGAACCTGTCTATCGCCACTTAATGTACTGCCAGTCGCGTTGGGACTGAGTTTGGGGTCTGTGGCCATCCCGGGAGTCTTCTCGAGGGCTGGACTCTTGGGAGACCAGGATGTCGAACTGTTGGCTTTGCCTGCTAATTCTTTCCCGGCAGGCGAAAGAGCTCCAGTGCTCTTGTCGGACGATTTACCGGATTCGCCGGAGAGGAGAGAGTGGCACAAGGCCTTGAGAACCTCGGCAGGCGGCGCGGCCTTCGGGCCGGCCTTGGGTTTAGTCGGTCCGGAGGGGGCGCTTTGCTTCGTAATTACTTTCGACTTGTGCTCAGACGTTTCAGGTGAATCGGCTGCCATGAGTGACAGATCAGAGTGATTGCTGCTCTCATCTGAGACATCCACCACACAAAACACAAATCAGTCCTTCCGTGACGATATGGTCGTGGTTGACATAGTAGGTAGAGAAATTTAAACTGACCGTTGTCGCCATCAAAGCCCTTAGGACTCCAGCCATAGACCATCCGGCGAGTCTTGGTGGTTGTGCTTGGAAAGCGGGTGAGATCAGCCTTCTCGATTGGCTTCTCCGACTGTGAGTGCAAAATTTCTGGCCCTGTATATTTTTTTTTGCAAGAGAACTCAGCCGTGATCAGCTCAAGGTTGCCTCAGATGGCACTAAAAAGAAGCCAATGTCACCGCACCTATACTGCGAGTGAGATCTTCGCCAACATTGCCGGCGTTTGGAGTAGGCTTCCAGCCCTCTGACGAATCTAAAGAGTATACCCGGTCAGAACGCTGGCCATCCAAGCTGTATTGGATTACTTACCCTGCACATCCGAATGAGGAGCCGCCTCGATCGAGACCACGGCAAGGGCAACCAACAAAAAGTTGAAAATTGAAGAAGGGGACTGCATTTTCTGCGTAATTCGTTCTAGTAACAACACTTGTCTACTAACTGATACGCGGTCTAATAATCTTTAGCAATACGGTTCTAGCTGTTGGGAAACCTATGTAGACGTGACTGGGGAGGAAAGATGGAGGCAACAAGATACGTGCTTTATATAGAGCAGGGGGTTGGCAGAGAAACGACAATCAAGCCAAGGCATGCAAGGAAATGACATCACACTTATGCTAGTCATTCTGAGATCAGATGAGGTTACCAGGCTTTGTGTCCTTGGTTGTTGTAAGGTTCGAGTGATCTGGTGTGACTGATGCCTGCTCCGCTCGGTGAAAAGCAAATTCATAGCAAAGCACAAGCACAAGCACGTATCGAATATTCACCAAGCTTGTGTCGGTCTTACAATGAGATCTCAGCAACAACATTTCTTGTTTGGATCTCAGCAACAACATTTCTTGTTTGGATCCAAAGCCCACCGGTATAGATACCAGAGTTGGAACCAACCGTGTGGTTAATTTTAGGGACCGTGCCCACGACATTGTACGTACCTAAACACACCACGACACGAGGGAACGGTCACGAATCTCGAAGCCGGAGGTTCAATGGGCCAATCTTCTTGCACAAAGGCCTTCAGAAGCTTCCGAGATCTCAGATGGAGACACTATTGTTTTACTTTCAGATCGGTGCTTATCTTATGTCAGATGGCGTAAACTTGCTCAGACTTTTTAGCCAGGTCGATGGGCGACCTTAGAGTTGAGGGGTATGCAATACATAGACGCGTAAGATGCCATAAGGTCTTACAGTCACGTCTAAAACGATTTATAGCATTCAAGTGTGCACAATCGAAATGTTTGCTAATATTTGTTGCTCTTGGTCATCAGATATGTTACCATATGGCTCTTCCAAGGTAGTCAAAAACCATGAATCCACCGCAGCCTTGCCTCTTTGAACCCTCGCGGACCTTTGATGATCCCCTTTTACAATTCGTAATTTCTTTGTGCATGCCAAGGGATATGTGGAAGTATGTGGAGGATTGGCTCCAGCTCCTAAAGCTTAGACAGCTTGTGACGCGTGCAATCCACGCACTCGAAGATCCCTAACAATCTGGATGTCAGCCAGCGACAGTTCTGCAAACTCATGGGATCCGAAGAAGAATGATCTGAAGAATTGTCAGAAGAAACGCTAGTATGTAAATAGTCTCTGCTAGTGCCATTTAAGAGGATGACGATCATAAAACGTCAAGTACTTTCAATTTCGGTGGACCTTGCCCTTGGGCCGGAGTATGTATTTTTGTATTCTAATGGCCGGGACTCAACCAACAAAAGCAAAAAGGTGTCCTTGGAGAGACTCGGAGAGCCCCAAGAAGTTACAATCTTTCTGGCCAGTGGCTAGGAAAGGTAGATTTTGTAAATTGCAGACAAACAACAGTCATGGGTGAAATGCGTTGAAGTGAATATACATACATGCTACGTGAGAGGCCTGAGGATATCTCGGGATCCCAGAGATTCATATGAATCAGTTGTCGGTGGTGAGGGAAAGGCTACCGATCAAAAATTGTTTTGCTAACAGTACACCAGTACGATAACAATGAACATCAGAATCGCTTGTATAAACTAAACATGCGGAGCGAAGTTAAGACTGTGTAACAAATGAAAAGAAAAATGTTCATTGCTTCATACAGAGGAACATGCTGAAAGATGCGGTGAAATGTCAAAAAAATGATTCTTCAACAGGACGGGATTCATGCTGGTGTGAAATGGTGAAATGACAGCAGGATAAAAACATAAATGACTCGGGGAAAAAATAAAGAGTACAACAAAATTACAAGAATATTGCATAATCACGGGTTGAGACACACCGGACAAAAAAAAACAGCTATAAAACAGACGGAAAAACGATGCTGGTAAGGTACATTGTACATCGGATAGATTCGTAGACCGAATGCAGATTACACAACAAGCGTTAGTCATACATGTGCTTTATGTCAAGATTTATACTGATTAAGTCATAGCTTGCTGCTACGCGAGCCTGCGATTGATTTCGAAAGCGAGACCGAGGATGGCGAGGGTTCCTGAATGATGAAGGATGTGAATCAGTCTTTCAACATACATACAAAACATGGAGATTTCAGAATCAGTTTGTCGTACTTGGCCAGCCAACAAGATTTTGTCGCGTTCATGAGAGATGATCCGTTCTACTTTGAGCGCCTTGTCGAGGTTACCACGGACTTTGATCCGGTTAGCAGCATAAAGCTTTTGAGGGTTCATCTGTGATGGATGAAACAAAAAATATATATATATATGAGTTTTTAGAGCCTTTCATCTAATTGAGCGAGCCGTCGGCTAAGGATCACAGACTTCTCCAGTGGCCAGAGCTACCAAGTCATTGTCTGAACACCATATCGTTACGTCTGGTTTGAACGGCGCCTTTCCTTTGGCAACCCGACCCTTCTTCTTCATATCCACAAACCACATCACCTCTTTGCCTGCCTTGTTTTTGATCACAAACCTGAGATAACGAGGGAATGAAAAAAAGTAAGCTTAAGTTCTGGTACTATGCCATGGTTAGAAATGTAGTCAGGTACGCCTGGTCACTCAACTGGTAACAAGTCTTGATCATCTTTACCAGCTTTTTTCGTGATGGGAAGGTGTGACTGGTTACTGAGCCACTGGTGCTATCTCCTTCCTGAAACCAGATGAAGCATGCAAATTTCAATCAGGATCAGTCAAGTGGATCAAACGTAGAATCAAGATCGTGAAGGATCACTAACCTGGAGTAACACATCAATCAACGCAATCACTTTCGAAGTCTCAAACCCCTCTTCGGATAAACTGGAATCATTCAAAGCTGCCTGGATAGATTATGGTGCAGAATAAAAATTCGGGTTTTTTTTTCAGTTTCAAGAAAAAAGAAAGGCGTAGAATCAGGATATGCAAGCTTGAGAACATACCTTGAGTTGAGTCTTGAGACCTTGATTAGGCGGGTCTCCGGACGCCACCATAATAGCTGAGTTGTTCTGTTTTTTTTGTTTTGTTTTGGCTAACGTTCAAGCTCGTCTCGGATTCGGCAACAGATGCTCACCAACAGACATCAAATAAACACGGCTGGTCGTACTAGATATGTATCGATGGGCGAATCGGGCTTCCTCAACGACTCGAGTCCAAGGTTGAAGTGTTGAGTGGTGTATTCTTACCAAGCCACTCCGCTGATCAGCCTCGGACACATAACAGTGGCTGATGTCATAGGTAGCCCCCCGGGGATTGCCACGAGCTGTCACGGATATGTTAACTTTACCCCACACTGATCACAGCACGAAACAAAGACTTCGATCATCGCCATGTCGTACATGCTCCCCCTCAATCCGGTGCTAAATAATAACGACAGCCACAAAAGGACTGCACACTCGGCGCATCTGAGTGCATTGAAAATCAGTTAGATCTGAAACAGGCATTGGACAGCTTCCATCAGAGTTTACCACAAAACTTGTTTGATTTATAGCATCAGTCAGCTCCAGTGGAGACCAGACCAAGGGAGGCGGGCTGTCCGAATCCTATCTACAGTCTCATTACGTCATGACACTATGGCCGAGCGGTTAAGGCGCTTCCCTGCTAAGGAAGTGGACATTGTCCGCGCGCGTTCGAATCGCGTTGGTGTCGGTATGTTTTTGCTATCCGGACGTGCAGATTCACACTGTGGATGAATTTATCATCTTTTTCCTGCATGCACTGGTCACCCACATGCTTACATCACAAACTTCATCCTTGGTTGCGGAAGTTTGGAACTGCAGACAGCTGCAGATTGGCTTGGTGGTAGATAAGCGGGTCCAGCTATGGATTCAATGCATGTTTGATTCCAGCAACTGGTATCCATCAAAGCCCAGTCCTCATTAGAATATAACTCATAGAGTTTTGAATTTTGTTTGCCAGGCTTTGAGGAAATTAGTGCAAAAGGATTGAAAGATCTGCAAAGTTCCTGTATTTAGGCAGTTGGTGTGGATTTTACTTCATAAAATACTATTGGGGTCACTGTTGGAAAGGGTGGGCCAGTTACACTAACTGTAATGTTAGCAAGGTGTAATGCAGAAGAATCTCACTGAAGTTAGGTGTAGTGTCACTGTGGTGGAATTCTGCCACGTCTGCACTAACATTGTTCCTGCAGGCCTCCAAAATGTGCCGCTACACTGTGCTAATGTGCAGGTTAGCATCATTTCTTCCCTATAGTTGCTGTCAGTTGCCTGTAGCGCAGTGTAGCTTAACGTGTCATAGCAAAAAACTGCCCATATTGCACTCACACTACATGATTTCAACCAAAGAAGAACCACTAAGCTAATGCTTTTTGGGAAAAAAGAGGTGTAGATTAGCAGCCCATTTTTGCTGTTAGGAGACAAATCCATGTGCAAAGTTGAACTCAAAAAACAGCATTTTTGCAGTGGACTTAATTTCTTGAGTGAAATCTTGTAGATGGGTTTGAAAACTCAACCTGAATATCTCTTATCAATTGCTTGGAAAATACAGGTCAAGGTGACAACCTTTCCTTTATCAGCTATAAAAATAATAGAAAAAAAAAGCAAAAAATATGTTTTCCAAAAATGGTGGATGTAAAGGCTCTAAGTAACATAAGATTAAGGTATGGGTACCAGGTCAATTTTTTGCCTAAACCAAACACACCCAGACCCACCTGGGCAGTTACTTGCAGGACACAGGTGGTGTACCAATTTGATTTTCCTTTTTAATGTCCAACCATTAAACCAGACATTTCAACTGATGTAACATCCCATGAAGGTTTTTGATATAACCACAGATACAGCCACGTGACCCAGTTTACTTGCTGAAATTCCACTGCAATTTAATCAGATATAGATATGGCCAATGTGTACCAATTACCTGTGAGTGGTTCTGGGTATGTGTATTAGGGCTGAAAAAACCCAGGTACCCATGTCCAAGTCAGGGATTCAATGCTTGTCAGCCTCAGACTTCAGTCCTGCAGCCATAGGGAGTGTGGACCCCTTTTGGCAGGAATTATTGTAGGATGTCAGTCTGTTTTTTGAAGGTTGATGCGGCCAGACTGGGTGGAACTGTCTCCCACTTCATTGTCTCTGACATGATGTCTGACAGGGGCAGGGGTGGCTGTGGCTGTGGTACCCTCCTACAGGTGCCGGGTACAAATACAAGTCTCTGAAAATGTCCAAAATCATTGGGGGTAACCAGGTTCAATTGATCATCTCTAATGAGATAGCTGTATCTGTGCCATGTGATCATTGGTGATGTGATGGTACATCAGTTGTTGAAGTGTCTGATTTTATGTACAAAAATCAAATCATACACTTCAACTAATGTAACCTCACATGAAGATGCCTGATAGAATAAAAGATAAAGCAATCTGACACAATTGAATTGACAGTGAATTTATTCTAGCAATGATGAAACTGATCCAATCCCCGCATTGGATCAAAAATGGACCCAATACTGGGTATTGGTATTGGCTTGATCTCAAATCCAATCCCAATTTATTGTACAACTGGGATTAGGTGGAGAGATCCAATACCAATACCCGGTATTGGGTCCATTTTCAATCTGATCCCCGATAAATACCAATCCAGGGATCGGATTGGTTACACTTTTGGATGATACCAAAGCGTGAGGCACGCAGCCCACAGCTTTTGGGTGTTGGATTGGGATTGCAATTCAATCCCAATCCCAATCCAATACCATTTTGATCCAATACCACAGGATCGGATTGCTAGGTTGATCCAATCCTTTATTTTTTGATACCTGGTATCAAAATATCAATCCAATCCAATAAATTGGCTGATACCTTATCGGATCAGATCAGTTTCACTGTTGATTCTAGTAAATACTAAGCCCTCAAAGATTTCAACTTGATGGGACAAAAATCATTACATCCCACCACTAATGGTGGGTGAAATATTTTATTGGGATCAATTGTAGTATTCAAAGTTCAAATAATGTGGCCTTCACATAACCCAATAAGTGATGCTTTTTCAGAGTCTGGTTTGTGGAAGGGTTTCTTTCTCAGCCTAATACCAACGCTGGGCCAGCTACGCTAACCGTAGCGGTTAGCGCAGCGTAACGTAGCGGAATTCCACGCAACTTTAGCGTAGCGTAGCGGGATTCCGCCACGACACCGCTAACGCTAAGCGTGTGGGCCGCAAAAAAGGGCCCACTACGCTGCGCTACAGCGCTTTTTAGCGGTTTTTGGCCGCTTTTTCCGCTAAAAGCGCTGTAGCGCAGCGTAGCGTAGCGAAAAACCGCTACAAAAACGCTAACACTACCGCTTTTGGATGAAAAAAAAGCGCCGCTACGCTACGCTTTTTGGGCCAAAAGCGTAGCGTAGCGTAGCGGCCCACCGCTGCTAATACATATTGAACTATTAGTTCTTATGACATCATTCTTATTCTTTAAGCATATTCATGATTCCTATACATACAAAAGTATTGGTTGTGTTGATTGAAACCTATCTGATATTCTAGTTCTCTGAGTTTGCTCGCTTGTACTGTTCTCTCTTTTATCTTCCTCAATCAAATTGTTTTCTATCATTTCTTAACAACTTGATTTGCTAAAAGATCAAACCTATCACAACAGGTTTTTTACTTTTGTTCTTTGTCAGTCATATCAATCATTGTTGTGATCTGATATCACCTTATCCTCAAGGGTGTGTATAAGAAATCAAATCAAATTGTTTTCTATCATTTCTTAACAACTCAATTTGCTAAAAGATCAAACCTATCACAACAGGTTTGTATTTTTGTTACTTGTAAGTCATATCAATCATTGTTTTGATCTGATATCACCTTATCCTCAAAGGTTTGTACTTTTGTTCTTTGTTGGTCATATCAAGCATTGTTGTGATCTGATATCACCTTATCCTCAAAGCTCGTTGTTCATTAATACATTTATGATAGAGTGGTATGTTTTTGGCTACTTTACATGAACTTTGACTTCCCTAAATAGAGTATCCATGCCATCAATTCTGTTTTTTGCTGATACTGAGACTGTCAGTGTATTAGAGGGGTTCATGATAGCTTTTCACCAAAAAATTTTACAGTCCCACAAGTACACCGCGGGTGCAGAAAAATCAAAGTTCGACATCAACCTGCCCCGGCTGGGCAGCTCACGTTGATCTTTGAGGCGTCACAGCTGATCTCCGTATGGCATAAGGCTGACCGCCCCATACTCGGTTGGAGACGCGTGTCACACAGGTTGCTCCCAGGATCACAACTCCTGGCTGTCGCCAACAGCTCCCCATCCTCATGCCAGCCAAGGGCCCCAACTCCGACAGCACGAGATCACCCCAGCCCGCAGACGCACCAATGAATCGGGCACCTCTGCTGGACAGTGCATTGTCCGCCCACTACCGGCGCTCAATGGCACCAACGTAACTTGCACGGCCCCGCGCACCCCAACTTCCAAGCACACAAGGGTGCACCCAGGTTTTTCAAGGCGACTGGGCCGAACGCCTTGCAAACAAGTTGAAGACATTTGCGCAACGTTCAGTTGTCTGCGCCTGCAAGCCGACTCAGAGGCAGAATGCTATGCACCTCGGAGCCGAGGCAATGTCGCCTCCAAACCGACTAGGAAACGTCCTCCAATGTGAGTCGTTCTGGAGGCAACATGAAAAGCCTCCCCACTCGACTTATAAAGATCACTCGAAACGACTTCTGACCGGCTGGAAGTCGTTCCTGGAAAAGACTGGGCATCCAGGTTGTTGAATTCACACAAGATTCTCACGGACCCTTGGAGCTTGAGGTGGTTTGTTCAGGGCTAATCATAATAAAATAAAATTCCAGTAAAGACTGATGAAAAGTAAAAATTGTAAAACAGTAAGGGGAGATAAGATAACTAAGACACACAGAGAAAGAAGTGATAATCAGTAGAGAAAACAGAGAAGAACAAAAAAGTATAGATGAACAATAAAATTATGTCAACAAATTAGTCACAATCATTGATACAAATCATTTTTGGTAGAGATGAGCATGAAAAAAAAAGAAAAGAAGAAAGAAAAACTATGAACCCCAGTCATTCACCAACCATTCCATGAGTCAAGCGGCAAAGCAGAAGCATGGAAGAAGATGAAGACGTTAAAGAAGCAAATCAATAATTATGCAGAGTACAGACAGGTTTAAGTAGAACTCCAAAACAGCTTACAAAAAGTTTTGAAGTCAGGCATGCAGGAAAATGCCCATCTCACCATCATGTGCTCATAGTTTCAGACAACATTGTAATGGAAACAGACTGGCTATGTACATGAAATGCATCATAAATCTCTGCCCTACGCTAACGGATCATCAAAATACTCCTCTTCAGGGCCCTCATCCTCTCCTGTATTGCGCCAAACTGCCAAACCCCGTTGTAGCATTCGGATAAGTTGCCCGACTTCTTCTTCCCCTCGTGGGATGTCAACCCAGAGACGTAGCCCCCTCGCACCCGGTATTTCCATTGAATTCACCACGTAATGCACAGTGTCCTTGTGTGTCACCGTCTTGTTGTTTTCCTCAGACTTCTCCCGCTCGACACAAACTCTTCCAGTTGAAGTCACTTCACACCCTCCTGCATGGCAATTATGCTGGAAATTGATTGTAGACACCACGTCCTTCAGGAGTAATGATTGAATCAGCCCTTATGTACAAGTCCAACCTGCAATGAGTCACAATTAATTTACACTAGGGAAATCGTGGCTGCGCCACGTGACCAACATATCAATCACTTCATTTTACAAAGAGTCCCAGATCAAAACTTTCACAAAATAACCATTCTACCCACTTAGCAATATTAAACATAGAAACCAAAACAAAAAAATTATGAAAAAAAACAATAACCCAGTAATCAAAAGATCAGATTCCTGCCCTCATCTGTTCAAATGTTCTTTCAATAGCGCAATATTGACCACATTCGCAGTCTTTTCTAGACTTGTTTCTTCAACTCCAATGCCAATGCCCATGTTGGTGACACACGTCACCCTAGACAAAGCAACATATAACTGTCCATGTGCAAATACTGGTTTTGGTAGGAAAATGCCAACGCAGTCCAAGGATTGGCCCTGGCACTTGTTTATTGTCATTGCAAAGGCGCTGACAATAGGATACTGAAACCTGGTAAAAGCAGACCCAAAGTGAAGGTCTGGGTCATGTCTTAGTTCAATCCTGGGTAACATTTTTATCCTGCCAGCTCCTGAACCTGTCAAAATCCGGGTCTTCAGTACTCTTGGCTGAATATCCAGAATCAGCAACTTTGTTCCATTTGCAAGGCCTTCTCCTAGACTCAGGTTTCGCAACAGAATCACAGGCATGTTTCGCTTTAAAACTAAGCGATGAGCTGGAAAATTGGCAAGTTCAATCGTATTCAGTACTTCTTCAGGCACTGCGCGTTCCGAGGTATCGACCATTGCATCGTGAGACCAAGAAATTTCTTCTTCCCCGGGGAGTAGCCTTAGACATTGCCTATTGATGTTTTTAACATCCTTGTTCAGTGGGGTGATTATTGCTCGAGACCAATAAAACGGTCCTAACCGAAATTCTTCCGGGTTCCGAAGCAGCTCTTGCCCAGGACTGTATACAAAATTGATCAGCTTGTTCATCAACTCGTTCATGCATCCAGACCGGAAGATTGTTCCATACGGTAACATGATCTCTTGAATATCTTTCTCCTGCAACGATCCATTTCCAACGGCCAATAACCATTCCTGGAACCGTCGTCCTTGATCATTACCTGATTCCGGATTGGTGCCTAGCAAACGTATATTGTGTGTCAACCGAAATCGTTTTACGTTTCCCCAGAGGTATGAGTTGATGATACACATTTTTGCCTGAGTATACATGTTTCCTAATTTTATGACAGGCAGGGTTGGCCTGAAATCACCTGAGAACAGGACAGCCACGCCACCAAATTCTTGATCATTGCAACGGATTTCCCGCAACGACCTATCCACTGCTTCGACGCAGAACCGGTTTTGCATAGATATTTCGTCCCAAATTATAACTTGCAGCATTTTCATCTCTTCTGCCAAGTTTGATCTTGGTTCCCACTTACAAAGCGAATTCCCTGTGATTTTGACTGGAATCTTGAATTTTGAATGTGCTGTTGTTGCGTTTCTCAAGATGAGTGAAGCAATTCCTGATGAAGCTACTGTCGCTATGTTGATGTCCTTTGTCCCGCAAAAATCGATAATTGTATTCAAAAGATGAGTTTTCCCCGTTCCGCCAGGCCCATCAAGATAGGCTGTCCATTGAGTGCGAGATTCTATTAAGCACTTTACCGAATCAAAAATATATCGCTGCTCCTGAGTTGAGTGATGATACTTCTTCAAAACTGGCACCTGCATTATACAACAACTCGTTATCATGACCAAAGCCTTCTTTGAAAACTGTCCATAGATCCTTGTCCGGTTCCGTCAAGCCAACTTCTGAGAAAGTCTTTGAATGAAGTCGAAGTTGTTCGTTGAGACGATAACATGTAAGGGCCTTTTGAACTGCAGAATTGTTCTCCAATTCAGGGAATTGTTGTGTCAACAGTCTCTTTGAGTCATCTCCTAACTGGTCGACAAATTCGTCAAACAATTTCTGTGGATTTCCGGGTGGACTGTGGACACCTGTGTCACTCCAATTCTTCCATTCCAAATGGAGGAAAAAACGTTCACATCCTCCATTTGGAATGGAAAAATGGGTGGAGCTGGATGTTCCCAGCTCCACCAAGCTCTCCCAGCCCTTTTGCCAGCTCAGGGGAGTTGGATTGCAAGGGCTGACTTCCCGCAGCCCAGCCATTTTGTCTGTTGACATAAGTGCACCCCCACAACCTCAGCCCTTAGGCTGAGGTGGGGTCCAAATTCCCACCCTGCTAGGGGTTAGGTGGTTAGGGGGGTAAGAGGG